TAAAAAAACAGAGGTTAGAGAAACTAAGCTTCAAAAAACTTAATTGGATTCAATCAAAACGAAAGGTATGGATTCAAAGAAGGCTCAGAGTTCAAGGAAGGTTTCACTAAGGAAAAAAGATGAAAGATCAGAGAGAAAGTGAGAGAAAAGATGACTTAGATTATAATGCAAGTTTTAGAATAAATTTTTTTTTAAATACCCCTCAAAACTCGCAAATTCTCGCTTAAGCAAGCGAGTGGACTCTTGCTTAAGCGAGATCCACTCTTGCCTAGGCGAGACCTCTCACCTGAGCAAAAACAACAAACAATGCTTTTTATCAAATTTTTTGATATTCTCATCTGAGTGAAAATGGGTCGAGAGAGCTTCTCATTCACCTTATGCCCTTTCACATGAGCAAGACCCATCTCGCTTGGACGAGAGAATAGTTGGAGCAATATTATTCCTTCTTGCCCAGGCGAGACTCTACTCGCCCAAGCGAGAATGCTCAGGAACGCTTAGTCCAAAAAAATAGTCTCACCTAAGCGAGACCCTCTACCATTACCAACACTCATACTTTTCTAATTTAAAACAAAATCCAATAATAATTAATAACAAATAAAGCAATTCAGAAAAGAGGGTGCTACACTTCTCCTTTCAAATATAATTTTAACCCTCTTTGTATATTCAATTTTTTTTTCAAATCTTATTTTGTTTAAATTTTATATAAATTTCAACTTATCTGCAAACAAAAAGTTTCAGCACCTATTATATTTTTTTCTACCATTTTTATTTAATATTTTAAAATTTTTTATTTTATCTTATTTTATTAATTTTTAGTCTTAATCAAGTTAAAAATTCACAATATGTTTAACTTTTATTTAAAATTCATGTCATAATAATAAAAAATATATTTATCTAATTTTTTAAATTATATAAAAAATTAAATTTTCAATGTTTGCAATAAGTATATCGATATAATCAATAAAATTATTTTTTATCAATAACTTTTTAAATAATCAAATAATTTTATTTAAAATTAAAGGAAAAAAATGAGATAATAGATGCTATTTATAATTAGTTAATTATTTAATAAATTAAAATAATTTTAAAATTATTTAATTTATCTTATTTGCATAGATCTAGTGCGTAATTTAAAATACTTTCTTGGAATAAAGGTGGCGAGGTCAAGAAAAGAAAATGTCATTTCTGAAGAGAAATGATCTCTTAATGATATTGGCATAAGTTGGTGTCTCCAATAGAGACACCCATTAATTCTAACTTCAAACTTAGGGATGAAAAAAGGAAAATCTTGTGGATATTACTGGCTACTAAAGGCTGGCAGAAAAATTAATTTATTTATCTCACATAAGACTTTGAAATAAATCTTGTAAGCCTATTTATTCACTCTCGTTATAAAGAGAACATTGAGGTAATATATAGGATACTGAAACATTTGAAGAGTACTCTAAGGAAGGGATTGTTTTTTAAAAAAAATAGATCAGAAATCAGTCAAAACCTATACTGATGCAAATTGGGCAGGTTTTGTCACAATCATAAAATTTACCTAGTGTTAGTGTACATTTATAGGGAAATCTTGTTACATGAGGAAGTAAAAAATAGTGTGGTTGCTAGGCATGGTGCTAAAGCATAATATAGAGCAATGACTTAAGGAATTTATAAGATAATGAGGCTTCAAGGAGTAATTGAAGAATTAAGAAAGACTACTAGTATACCTATGAAATTGTACTATGAAAACAGAGTTACAATAAGTATAGCACAAAATCCAATATAACATTATAGGACTAAGCATGTGGAGATTGATAGATATTTTATTAAAGAAAAGGTTAACAATGATATTATTTGTATGTTGTTTATTCTTACTTATCAATAAATGGCGGATATTCTAACTAAAGATTTTGCTAGGACCAACTTTAAACTACTTGTAAGCAAGTTGAGCATGATAAACACCTATGACTAACTTGAGGGGATTGCCATGAGTTATTCCTATGATTAAGGTTTGTAACGTCATGCCGCACATCATGGTGTAATATGACATGTATTGTAATAACAATGGTCATTTTGGCTTTAGTTTACGAGCCTTTTGACAAAGTGAGATTTTTTTTAACAAGACATAGGTGCAATTTACTCAACCTGGTTTATGCATATCATTATTATTCATAGAGATTGAGAGATTTACCTCTCATCACATACATTAAGTGACACACGATCACAACATGAAAATTTGGTTCTTTGTGCACTTAATAAACAACATGTATAAAGGTGCATATCATGCTCTTATTACCAATAATTGATTAAGAGATTCCATTTTAGTTGCATATTCAAAACGTTAATCTTTATGGTGATATGGAAAACTACTTCGATAATATGATCATACTAAGTATTGACATAATCATACAAGTGGACTTAAATCTGTTGAAATACTCATAAATCAATTATTACCAACATGAGATAAAACATGTGATCTATCACATCTATTTAATTTCCTAAAAAGGTGAGACACAGTGTGTGATTACCAACCCAATGAGTTTATATACATCTACTTGCATGCACTCAAAGAAAGTCAATTTTTCTGCATGTTTAATTCCATCCAATAATAAAAATGCAAAAGATAAATAATAGCATAAATGTGGTTATATTAATTAACTCTCATATGGTCAAGAGTAATAAAATTATCCATGAAGGTAGAGAAAATGCACAACAATTAAAGTGTACCAAAAAAAGTATATTACATCCAATGAATAAAAAAAGAGAGAGATAGAACATCTAACCCTCTACCATACCATCAGTGGAATCTATCAATAGCAAAAAGACATCTAAACAAGCAAATTAAGACTCCTCTAAAAGGTCTTCCTCCATCTCCTTGGTGTACGAGGGATCTTTCTCCTTAATCTGAACTCCTAGGTTTGAGGGGTTAGGCTGGTCTTTCACTATTATACAATGTTGAGGGATGGGTACAAGTTTCCTAGTGATGGTCCTAAAGCGGGTCTATGAGGTCGTTGAGCAATTGAGTCCTCGAACAGGAAATGTTTAGGTATAGGGACATAGGAAGGTATGTGAGATGGGATGTCTTCTTTGGTAAATAGCTTTGGGTACAAGAACAGTAATGGTCAAGGTGATTTGACAAACAATACTATTTGGATTAGGGATAGGAATGGTCTCAAAAATTTAAACTACAACCACTCCGTAAAAGGTACTCCAAAAAGGTGATGTGCAGTCCACTCTTCGTGGTTTTCATTGAACTCCAGCTTTAATATGTAGGAAAGGATAAGGAAATATTATCTTCAATATGCGCACCAACTAAAAAGGAACATCCAACACAAGACATTTTAACCAAAAAAAAAAGGAGTGAGATATGTTTCTAAGTAAAATAAATTAAAAAAAAAAAGAAATAAAACAAAGTAGTATAGGCATATATCACATCATGCAATTAAAGCTTCTACAATTTAATAAAATGCAAAGTCTAACGATATGATGCACGATCGATGGAATCGATGACCCTTGGTTTGGCAAAAATGTATTTTCATGCTCATACGACTCTAATCTATAACAATCCTGTTGTTTAGAAGTTGTTAAGAGTTTCACTAGATAGCCTACATTTCGCATGTATAGTGATGACTCGAATCTCCACCAACTAATCTAGTTTGACTAACATGATAAGCTTAAGGAAAAAGTCAGGATAGAAAGAACATCATGCAGAGACTCCTAGCCAAAGGTCAGGGCCTAGGAACACTCATGGGGCTATTGTAAGTCTCTTAAATGTCAAGGTTCTCCTTATCTTTTACCAACAATAATTATAAAAATAACATCATGACTTTCTTTACAGGAGAGTTAGGTTTTATACACACTTTCCTTTTGAGTAGTCATGTTTATCTTAGAGTTTCACTTCATCAATCATGCAACTAGGATTTCATATCCTTCACAATCTATTTAGAACCATATTAAGAAATTGATAAATACCTATACCCGTACCTCTTTGCACTCTTCTTTTAGAGTTCCAAGCTCACTAGTTTCACCTCTTTTCTCGAATTACAAACATTACTCAACTAGAGTTACTCTATTCATTTCTTTTCCAAAATGACACAAGTTTTTACATAAGTTTATTTTTAACCATTAGATTCAATTATGAATTCAAGGTCTAAGTTAAAACTATGACCATAAGTCTTTAGAGCACATATACTTACTAATTATTCTTTAAAGTTTCATCACACATTTTTACCCTTAAAAGGTTCAAATCCACAAATAATGTCTACTCAACCTGCACATGCCTATATGTACATACTTAACTTCTTCCATAACCAAACTCGTGTCAAACCATACGTTCTAAGAAGAACAAAGACTCTTTGTTCAAATTTATATTATATTTTATTTTTTAAAATAATAAACTATTTTTAAAATAGAAATCATACTCTTTATCTCACATAATTTTGACCTCAAATGCGTTGTTTTGGACATTTTGGTCATTTTTGTTGTTTATTTCAGAAAGTTACTTTTTATACCGTTTTTTTTTTTATTATGTATATCATCCCCAAAATGTTTTAATATGTTTTATTTTTATAATATCCTTGATAACAATACATTTAAATCTCCGGAATACGTTTATAATAGCTTCCCGAATCTTATTTTCAGAACCGATTAAAAATATTTTTGTAAAATTTTAATTCCAAAATATATTAAATAATTTCAAAAAATCAATTTTACCTAACTTTAAAGCTAACAGATCCTTTAGTCAGACAAGTCTGTTCATCAAAATAATACAGTTGACAAATAATATTCCAAGTAGTTGTACTTCAGATTTACCAAAATTTAAGTAGAGTTTATCTTCTAAATATAAAGTCTCATAAATAATACATCTTTTGCAGTATACATTCGCTACCAACAACCATAAGAAGAATAATCTTGTGGGATTGTGGCTCTGACAACTTCAACCAAGTAAAGAAAAGAAATAAACGACAAATAAATCAATTGTAATCCTCAAGGCAATAAATGGTTATACGCTCCTCATTTCATTTTTACTAAATCGAAAAGAATATAGAAGGTATCAACCAAACAACTAACAAGAAATCTAGGATGTTATTGTCAGGGATAAAAGCAGCAAAAGAAGGGAAATAACTAAATATTTTATGATCAATTTGAAGGTCTAGCTATTAGCAAATGATTTTCCGGAGAAATACTAGGTGGAACATATCTTACAAGCTTTGCCTCTAATCCATATTTTCTTAACCACATCAACCTCCCCATGTCGATAATCCACTTGCACTTAAATCCAACTGCAGCTCGTTTATCTGCTTCCATGTCTGCGATAATTTTTTCGACTCCATTTGCATATGCAACACCTTGCTCCTTTCTGCAGCAAAAACACAGCTTTTAATATATCAGTTTCTACAACATTGTTTTGACTTTGAAATTATAATTTATGTTTAACAAGAATTTTGAGGCTCCATTTAATGATTATATAACTGGAAGGATTACATTGACTGCAAATGTGATCTGCAGTTGGTAGTATCAGGAAGATCTGAATCGTGAGTAGCATCTACCGCCCAGCTGGTAAACCATGTAATGGCATTAAATTCTTCCTTGGTCAACCCCAAATCCAGAAAAAACCTTTTATCTGAAGTGTTATAATTACAGTCAGCCAGTAACCAAAAGTTATCATCACATCCATAAAGAAGTTTAAAAAGACGAAGTACACTGTTTACTAGCAAGGCAGAAGGAAATCATTACTTGTGTAGTGGCTCCACTGGCAAAGATGGTGACAACATGTAGCTATAGCTAAACCTCCAAACTTATTAGCAGTGTACTGCTCACTGCTATCTTTTCTATGTTCAGGAAAGCAGCATCTCAAAGTCAAGTCTGAGAAAAAATTGTACAATCATTTGCATTTTCATCAATAAAACAGTCACCGCAAATTTTATTGGAGTTATCTAACCAAATTGACAGAGTCACCTGTTGCAGCTCCACATAGATGTTTACCGATTGCCAGAAATGGAACTCCTTGCAAAGACTCAACCGCATTCAAATCTAAATCCTCAACTGCACAAGTGAAATAGAATAATATGTCAAATAAAATAGGAGGAATGCTAGGAACACTCTTTTTATCACGCTTCTATTAGTTAACTAAAATTTATTGAAAATAACAAATGGATGAAAGAGAAACATTAAAATAAGAGTGAGAATTGAGAAAGAGTGAGACCTCCATGATTTTACTAGTTTTAAGAATTTTAACCAATAACTAAAAGTGTGTTAGAGAGTGTGTTGATAGCATTTCTCTAATCAAGCAACAATACAGAATTATGAAGAAGCAGGAGAAGAAATTAAGTTAAAGAAAATATGAATAGAGCAGAATATATCCAGGATTAGGATGCTTTTAAAATGATTACAGTTTGAAACTGACTAGATTTTGATGCCAAAATGGAACAGAATCTAAATGCTTCAACAATGTGCACACAACGTTGTGTGCAGAAAACAAAAAATGTAGGGAAATTCAGTATACTGCATGACAATTACATTAATTATAAATTGTTCTAGATTTTATGATAAGGATAAAATAATCCAAAACTCAGAAGAGCTTCAGATTAAAACAAAAGCATCTGAGCCTTGCAAAAGTTTTCAGAATGTTTGCTTTGAGAATTCATGCAAGAAAAATATTAAAGGTGCTAAATTAGCATGCTCATACTGTGGTTTGATATGCCCTCAGCCCAAATCTACACTAGTAGAAAGAAAGCAGGGCTGCATCCAAATAGGTTGAAGGCACTGAGTTGGCCACAAGTTTATGAAAGGAGGAATAAGCCAATAAGGTGTGAACTGGAGGTACTGTTATCAGAGCAGGGGGAAAGACAAAGAAGAGATTTTCAATTACCAGGACAGCTGTTTCCAGAATTACCTGTGGGGGGAGAGAAAAATGTGAGGGAGGGAAGTGAAGAAAAGCTTAGGTATGAATTGAGAAAGGTCAAGAGGAATTCCTGGGTAGGGATATTCTATGCATAATTTCTTAGTTATCTTATTTGTTTTTCTTTACTACAGTTTCAATCATTAGTCAAAATAGTGAAATTAAATTAGGCGATAAAGCAGCTGAGAGACATGGAAAAAAGGATATCGTTTCAAAGATTTTATCTAGACAGGATATGCCTTATTTGCAAGAAGGAAGATCCATTGATATGGTCTTCAATCCATTAGGGGTACCTTCACAAATGAATGTAGGACAGATATTTGAATCCTCACTCAGGTTAGCAGGAAATATGCTAGTTAGATATTATCGAATAGCACCTTTTAATGAAAGATATGAACAAGAGGTTTCAAGAAAACTAGTGTTTTCTGAATTATATGAAGCCAGTATACAAACATCGAATCCATGGATATTCCATGGATATTTAAACTTGAGTATCCGGGAAAAAACAGAATATTTGATGGAAGAATAGGGAATTCTTTTAAAAAGTCTGTTCTAATGGGAAAGTCTTATATCTTAAAATTAATTCATCAAGTTGATGATAAAATATATGGACGTTCTAGTGCATAACAACAACCCCTTAGAGGAAGGGCCAAACGGGGAGGACAATGGGTAGGCGAAATGGAAGTTTGGGCCCTGGAGGGGATTTGGTGTTGCTTATATGTTACAAGATATGCTTACTTATAAATCAGATCATATTAAAGCTCGCCAAAAAGTACGATCATTGAAGGGACAATACCTAAACTTACGGATGCTCCAGAATCTTTTCAGTTGCTTGTTCGAGAACTACGATCTTTGGTTATGGAACTACACCATTTCCTTGTATCTGAGAAGAACTTCCGGATTTATAGGAAGGAAGCTTAATTGGACTGAATCAGAATTTTTATTCTATGATTGATCAATATAAACATCAACAACTCAGAATTGGATCAGTTTCTCCTCAACAAATAAGTGCTTGGGCAAAAAAATCCTACCTAATGGAGAGATAGTTGGGAGGTAAAAAAAACCCTATACTTTTCATTACAAAACCAATAAGCCTGAAAAAGATGGATTATTTTGTGAAAGAATATTTGGGCCTATAAAAAGTGGGATTTGTGCTCGTGGAAATTATTGAGTAATAAGAGATAAAAAGGACGATCTCAAATTTTGTGAACAATGTGGAATAGAATTTATTGATTCCTGGATATGTAGATATCAAATGGGCTATATAAAACTGGCATGCCTAGTAACTCGTGTTGTATTTGAAACGACTTTCAAGTTATATCATGAATCTTTTAGATAAACCTCATAAAGATTTAGAAGGTCTAGTATGCTGTGATGTGTGATTTGATCAAAATTCCTATTTTACAGATTTCGATTGAGAAGCTGTCATTCCATTCAATTGAATTGAGATGCCCTAAATCTAACATGTCTCTTGAAATGAGTAATATGAAGCTCAGAATTATGGATGTATCGCATACTCCCAAATAAAAGGGAATTGGTCTATGGTCGATTCAATAACAAATAAATATGAATTTCTAGATGTATGTATCTCATGAAAGAAAAAGAAATAGTTTTGTGGAATTAACTATTCCATCCTTTTTAGAAAGAACTGAAATTATGTTCTAATAATAAGCAAATATATCATGGTTGCAGAAGCCTATCTATCACATATAGGCTTAAGGACAACATAGCATAACTGTCAAGGTGATGTCTAGACCTAAAATGTTGTAGGGAGTATCAGCTGCTCGATGAGGATACATGGCAGAGATTTGTCCAGAGCCGACAAGACCCTGGTTTTCTAGTTAGCTGGTCTTGTAGTTTTTTATTTGATTTGATTTTACCTAACAAACCAATTCTATTCTTTACTGATTTATTTATAACAGGAGAGAAAAATATAAAAACTCAACAAATTCAAGCTAAAATTCCTAACCCCACAAATTGTCTTGTAAGACTATCAGTTGCTTAAAAAACAAATTATGTAGGAGAAATTGAAACAAAATCAAGAAATGTCCCAATTAGATCCATCTACAGTTGTTCTGGCTCCATCTCAACCCATGCGGCATGATGAATGGTAGAAAACATGACAAAAAAAACTTAGAGGGTCCACATCTGAGAAGTCTTGCATTGTTGAGAAGATTGCAAGCAATTAAATGTAACAAACTTACCCTTTTTCTCAATATTGTAAGTTTGTTACAATTAACTTACAATCTTCTCAACAAAAAACAAGACTCCTGAAATGTATACTCCCCTGATTTTTTTTCCAATGAGATAATCTGTGGTAGTAGCAATTCTTAACTTGAATATCTTGTGCATTTTTTCTTTTATCCTTTTATAACTAAATCACTAAAATCAGGAAAGAATAGACTTAGTTTTTCAAGTAAAATCAAATACAAAAATACAACTACAAGACCATATCTAACCTAAAAGGCAGGGTTCTGTTGGTTCTTAACAAATCTGTCAAGGATCCTCATTGAAGAACTGACAATTTCTGAATTATCTGCAATTAAAATGTTCACCCAAATTACCCTATACAGTTCCCTAACTACTCCAATCCACCCTCTTCAGCTTCATTACTGCGCTCATAATAACTAAAAGTAAGACCATTGCTAACAGAATCATCAACACTCTAAAGATACACTCTAAACTAAGAAGAATAATCAACAATTTTTTGCATAGAAAGAATGGTTAACAAATACAAAAGCCTAATGGAGCAAACGAAGTGACTTGACTAAGAACCTCAATCAAGGCTAGCATAAATAGCAATCAAAATTTAAATGCATAGGAATACAGTTCAATCGCTTAAAAAAAAAAAAACATTAAAAGAAAGCTTCGCAAAGATGTCAAAGCTCATTGCATAGAGACTGATACATATGCACCAAAAGCACAATATATGCACATTAGATGTTAATGAAGTATTTTAACATAAGAATCCCAATTACATGCTATGTACTCACAATATGATTCCTCAGTAAAAATATCTCAGCAGGCAGCATAATTCAACTACTAAAATTACAACTTTAGAAAATATATTCTGCAAAATGAAATCTGAAGACTCTTACTGTCAATTCTCAAACGCTCTAACATTAAGCTCTCATTCTGTCGCAAGGATCGATCGGCCTGGCAATAGCATTGGCATGATGTAAACAATTAATAGATAAATAAAGTAATTAATTAAAGATTGCTTTAAGTTCAAAGTTTAAATATCTCAGGCCAGGTAGTCAAAATCAATGTTCTGCGTAGGATTGGAGAGGGTCAAGGATCGTAACACAACTCATAAAATCCTACAAAATTCTTTTTATATATATATATATATATATATGCGCACACATAAATTTATAAATAAGAGAAAAAACTTCCAAAAATAATTAAACATAAACTCATAAGCTCATACATAATTCATAAAAGTAGTAGAAAATTAAATTGACAGGAAGAAACAGCCACAACCATAGACAGAATCAAGAAGAGAGAGTAGAGCTAAGAACAGCAGCAGCATCACACAGTAGCAGGACAAAACAAGTCATAGGTTGCAGAACGAAGCTTTGCAAATTGCAAAATGAAGCTTCGCAGTTTGCAGGTTGCAGATTGCAGTTCATGCATGACCAGAATGGGGTTTTGGGTGTCAATACTCAATGGGAATTAGTGGGCGAGCGGCAGGTAGGAGAACCAAAGCAGTAAGCGGCAGAGATGATGGCTTTTTTGTGTGTTTTTAGGGTTTTGATTTGGTCCTACTCAATTTTAGGCTTCAGGTGTTTGTTTCACAAATCAGATCACCAAATCAGGTCATGTGTAATTTGTTTAAAAAAATTAGCCATGGCAGTATCGAACGTTTCTAGCGAGTATACAATCCCAAACAACGATTCTGCACGATCCCAAAAGAAAGCACTTTCACATGCGATTCAGCATGGCCAAGTAGCTGGAGATCATAGGATCATGCGATTCTACGAGTCAGCACACAATTTTAACTACCATGATCTCAGGAACATCTCCAAATATTATCATGATTTAGAAGTCAGTGAAAGCAATTCCAGGGCTATCCTACCTTCAACTTGTATGACTTTCGCTCAACTAGAAAGACTCTTTCAATTCCATAACAATCTGCAAGCATTTGTGTCAAATACCCTCTACCAGCTCCAAACTCAATCACTGCAGGGACACCCTCCTTCCCCTCCACTGGTTTCCTTTCAAGAGTATTCTTCAGGACACCAAATTTTTCCAAATTTCCCAGAATAGATGCCTGCTGCACTATATGTTTCTCTTGAAATGGAATTTTCCTGCAAAAAACTCAAGTTGCAAGTATAAATCATACCCATTAAACTGTAGTTTGGATTCAAATCAATGTCCCATCTTGTGATTTTGATTTGTCACATTATCCCATGTGTTTAGTTCCATTAGCAAGGGTGATGGAAGTAAGATTTGTACTAAAGGAAGTACTCATAATGGGTTTTTGTGCAGAAGAAACTAACAACAGGGGCAAAGTAACAAATCAGAGCCACTGGCCAATTGATTTTGATCAGAACTACACAGGCAACATGAATTTAACCCTTAATAAATTCAACGATTTCACCAATAGCTACCTCTCTTCAACTCTGCTTTTAATCCAAAGGCTGCAAACCTCAGGCATCTGACTTGAGTCCTGAATATCCTTACACAATGACTCATGAAGAGATTCTATCTTTTCAATCAAATTGCAAAATTCAAGCACACTCAATTTATGAAGAGCATTCCTCTTCATTTCTGAGGAAACTGTCATAGTGAGCAATCTTGAATCATCAATCCCACATGTTTCCTCTTCTTCATCACAACCAGCATTGATTCCTTTTCGATAGAAAGGTTGGAGGGACAAGGATTGAATCTGTTTCAGCAATGGGCACCGCTTAACATGCCCATTGAGATTTTGTTCTAGCACTGAGCTATCAAATGAAGAAATAACAAGAACCAAATGAAAAAGAGCTAAAAGATTAGAAGAATGAACCTAAGGTTATATACAGAAGAAAGCATGTGAGAGAGTACATACTGGGATGGATCTATAGGACATGGAATCCACTGGCCTTGGGGCCTTGAGTTGTGATTGCCACAGAATCTGGGCCCATAGAATCAAAGGTGAGTGAAATGAATCAAATAATAGATGAAAAGAAAGAGACTGGAACTTACAAGGAACCTTCAAGAGGGATGTTTGCACAACATCTGTTTTTGTTGGGAAGCCAGAAGTTGCAGCGCTTGGTCTCCATAGTGCATTGTATAGCTTGCTTCATTTAGAAAACTTTAAGCCTCATATTATGATTTTTAAAGAGTGTTGCTCATAGTTCCATAATCCAGACTGGAGGTCAATCTGGTCAGAGGGGATTATTTGTTCAACCAACAGTCAAGCGATTGAAGGAAACCAGGATAAAGAAGAAAAAAAAAAAGAGCACGTATTCAATACATATATCCAATGCAAACTTCACTAGTATATAAGATTCCAAAACAACTAGTAAACATAATGTTGGTTCAAACTATTTCTACTCTAACGTCTGAACTGACATCAGAAATCCAACTTCAACACACATAATTGTGATTGATTCTATACGCATAATACATAATTAATCTTTGCTTGTAAAACTGTTCCTATTATATTACTGGTTTTCAAGTTTCATATTTAATGGAGTGACAGCCTACCAAATAAAAATGAACATATTTGATCAACAGGCCACTTTAGCCATTTCAGACTTCAACTTGGAACAACTCGTCTGGTTCATTTTTAAATCTAATTTCACAACTGACTTCAACAATGCCAACCCACACGACTAGAATAATGAGATCAGCACAACCCAGTAAAAATGTATAAAGTTCTAAAACATGAAACACCTTTTGTTTCAATTGGCTTCTGACACTTACTTCACTTTTTTTTTATGCTTCAAACGCTTGACAACCAACCAATCCTTTCAATCTTTCACTACAACTTCAAGTCTTCAACAAAAAGGTGCCAAAGAATCTTTAAATAGACACCCTTTGAGCTGTTAAGGAGGCTAGCAAGCCCGCTGAAGAAATTGCACGTGTCTAACCATTTATTCAGTAACGTGTCATTATCAATAAAAGAAATAAAGAAAAATCTAAATAAGCTTCATTCCGTTCCGGCAATTCATCAAACTGCTGATTTCATATGTAATCTTCATATCAATTTAAAAATTTCAGATACGCAGCACAAACCAAAACTAGAACTAGAAGGATCACCAGACGGTGAGTCGAAACTTAGATTGCGCAGGGGAAACAACGAAAACTAAGACGGAACAGGCACCCGCCAATCGAAGCTCAATTTCTTTACTTTTGATGTTATCTCCAGCAGAAACGCTAGGGTAAATTTGCTGCTAAACAAGACGAGGTCGTTTCCGCCGCAGGAAAAAATAAAATAAAATACACCTTTAATCAATATCAATGTAATTGAAACTTATTCACCAAATTAATCTCATCCGGATGTAATAAGATTTTATTTTTTTAAAAAAATAACTTTTTACAACCTCACATATCACTTTTTTTTAATTTTTACTACCTAACATTTTAATTTATTTTATTTTATTACTTAACAAATGATATTATTATAAATTAGTACATGCTAATTTTTTTTATTCTGTTACTTAACAAATGATATTATTATAAACTCTTACATGTTAAATGTAATATATTAAGTAGTTATTTGAACTGAATATTGAGACAACCACATGAAAGCTTACTTGACTAACTTAAGGTTTATATATTCAGAGAGTGATAGGTAAAGATTACGTTACATTCTTTTCATCTTTGTTATTAGACACTTAGCTTATGGTCTATATAGAATTTTTCATGATAAAGTTTATTTTATTATATTGTTTTTTTCTTTATATAAGATTAACGTATTTGGTTGTAACACATAATTAGAGTTTTTATCGTATTTAGTTTTTTAAATAGGGTATTTAAGAGGTTTTCAAAATTGAATCCATAAGAATTGTATTTAAAATTTAGTGGGAGTTACAAGGTGCACTTATATTTTATATTCAATTTTTTTTAACAAGCATGACTATGAATCTAATTATCCATTATGGATTTTTTTTTTAACAAAATTTACTTGATCTTGATATATGGTCGCATTTTGAGGCAATTGACATTATTAGAAAAGATCTTGTGTATGGGGTCCAATGAGGCTATAGTGGCAAGATAATAATGGTTAGTTTAAGAAGATCATTTATGACAGTCATGCCTTAGAGATGGCCAATTATGCCATGGCACACAATGAGGCTTTTAATAGTATTATACTGATAGCTAGGGACAAACCTATAATAACCATATGTGAGTGGATAAGGACTTACTTGATAAATAGATTTGTGATAAGTACATGTTTAGACACGTCTTTGGAGAATATTTTGATGAATTTATGCCTTATTTCAATAAGTCTTACACTAATTATGCTCTTAATTATTGCAGTTTAACATACTAAAGACTTGGTGGAATATTGAATCATTTTGAGCATTAAACTAATGGAAGTCAATTAGTAAAGCATGTCCTTACTTCTCTTCAAGCACGCCTCTGCTTCGAAGAGTATGTTTGGCCATGCTTGTCTTCTATTATTGCCAAAAGAGGATGTTTCTTTTCTAATCTACGAAGGAAGAATTTAAAATTTAAACTTTAAACAGATCTGATCTCGAGATATTAACCTTATCAAAAGGACTTTTTGGAGGCAACAATGTTATCTTTAATGGATCTCAACTCCTATTAAAGGGACTTCAGAGGCAACGACAAGGACATCTTAATTTTTACACACACCTTTGAAAACACTTGGAGTCATAGAGACCAATGGTCACTGGCAAAGACAAAGAAAGAGGCAAACTACGCTTATCCCCCTTCCCTTAGAGAATTCCTCTAGTTTTCCTTCTTCTTTCATGTATATGGAGTTTATTATAGTTGTTATTTGATAATAATTTCAGTTTTTGTCTATGATTGATTTTTATTCTAGTGCATATATTTGTATGTTAGGAATTGACCATTTCTAGCACATCGTAAGTAATTACATCGTAGGAAATCATACCACATGATATTAATGGACTTATAGAATAAAACAATGTAAGAATTAGGTGGATCAAACTTAACTTTTCTTTCCCAATCATTATTTAATTAGCAAGCTCATAGGTACTTCATGCTTTCCTATCTTGTTACCTTAAATGATCATTAGAAGTAATAATTTGAAGAAAAGACTCTTAACATTGCATGACTAATAGATGTTAATAAAATTTATTAATAATTGGCAATCATAAGGAAACCAGAATTAAAATTAACTCAAAATAAAACATAAAGACGAGTAAAGGTAAACCCATAAGCCTTAGGTTCCTTTCTAATCAGTAATCAAACGTGTGTCTCTTTACTGTTTTTAATTTGTTTAGCAAGCTGATTTATTCTCCAACGCATCACTTAAATTTAAACAATTAAATCAAGACTTACTTGATACTTGGAAACAATCCTTATGAGACGATAATTTGGAAGCTTGATTTAAAACTCTTTATTACTTTTTGATAAGTACACTTGTCCACAAAAAAGTTTTTGGTGCCGTTGTCAAAAATTGTTTTTCCAATATTAAAAGAATCTCATATTTGGTTGATTTGAATAATTCATGCTTCTATTATTTTTAGTGTATGTTCACTTGCTCTAAGCCTTCTACAACTTGCTTATTTGATCTGGAAATAGAAAGAATTGTGTGAAGACAAATGAAGGAGTTGAGAGGACAAAAGATGGCTAAGGGAAGAAAAGTCATTCAGGATTACATGACACCCACCACGGGTTAAAGTTAGCATTGATAACCATGATTCAAAACTCTATACAGTTCGGAGGAATGCTCAATGAAGACCCCAATCTCCATTTGACAAAGTTCATCCGACTCACATACACCATCAAGTATAATAGAGTCACCAACGATGTCATTCAACTTCTTCTTTTCCCCTTCTCAATATCTAAAAAAGTGAATGCATGGTTTGCCTCACTACCAGCTAATTCCATCTCAATACGGGAGGAGCTCACTCAACAATTTTTGAGAAAGTATTATCTTCCTCCATCAAGATCCTTTAAGCTTATGGCAGAAATGTCAAGCTTCTAGCAACATAAATTAGAATTCCTATTTGAAACATTAGAGCAATTTGAAGAACTTTTGAGGAGATACCCTCACCATAGTTTTTCTATATGGAGACAGATGCAAATCTTCTATTTATCAATTTCCAATATAGTCACAATTGATGCAGCCGTAAGAGGGGCTCTCATGAGAAAATATCCAGATGAGACATACAAATTAATAGATGAGATGACATCTGCTGGCACACAACTGAAGAAACCACCCCAATCTACCAAGCAAAGAGTTGCAATCCACTAATAAATCAAGTACTTAAGATCTAGTAGAACTATAATTATCTATTATGAAAGGCTCTTCTCTTATCCATTTTTTATCTATTATGAAATGCTCTTTTTGATAAAGCATTAAGTACTTGAGACTTAGTAGGACTACAATTATTTTCACTAATATTTTCTTGTAATACAGGTTCATATGTTAGTGTAGATATTTTTGGTCTAGATGTATTATCTATCCTTCTTAAATCTACATTTATTGCAGAATTATCTACTAAAATATCTTTACGACTCTCTTAAACTCTAAACACAACAAATGATAATAGCAGCAACTACCTATAAATTAGAAAAGGTAATTGATAAAGCAGTAGTTGAAGCTCTAGTACAAGGCTTCGCTCGACAATTAAAAGGATGGTGGGATCATCATGTAAATCCTATTGACAAAGAATATATATGATCATATGTAAAACAAGAAAATAATGAATAAGACATAGTAGTAACATTAATATATTTTACAATACAAATCTTTATAGGAGATCCAACATTATTTAAAGAAAGAGTAGGAATACAATTAGCCAATTTAAGATGTCCAACAATGTCAAACTACCAATGATACAAAGACATGTTCTTCTCTAAAGTAATGTTAAGGAAAAATGTAGTTGTACCTCATTGGAGAAAAAGGTTTATTGTTGCACTACCAACATTATTTTCAAGAAAGGTATTAGAAAATCTAAAAGCTAGACATGAAGGAAGAATAAACTACGAAAACTTAACATTTGGACAAATACATAACATAATAGTAGATACAAGATTAAGAGTTCGTAATGATACAAAATTACAAAACCAAATGAGAAAAGAAAAATTAACTAATAAAAAAGAATTAAGAACTTTTTGTAAACAATATGACATAGAAGCAGTACAAGCTCCTAGTAGAAAATATAAAAAATAAAATAAAAGATTTACAAAATCTCATAATAATCCATTTTATAAACAAAAAAGATAAGAAAAATTATAAACAAAACAACCAATCAAGTAATAAACCAAAAGAAAATAAGAATTATCAAAAGAATCACAAGTTTTAAGGAACATGTTGGAAGTGCAGGAAATATGGACACCATGCTTATCAGTGTAGATTAGAAAAGAAAATTAATTTTGTAGAAAGTGATGAATTAAAATAAGTATTATCAACAATATTCATAAATTCTGAACAAGAAAGATCTAAAATAGGAACTTAAGATAAAAAAAAAATACATTAGAAAATGAAATCTACCAATTAAACAACATCTCTGAAGAATCTGAAGAAGAAAAAAAAGTATTGTTTAGGACCAAAATTACATGACTGTAAAGACTACATACATCCTCAATTAAATGTTTTAACAAGAGATCAATCAGAAGCATTAATAACAATAATAGAAGAGTTGGAAGAAGGGCCACTAAAAAATGAATTCATTAAAAAATTAAATCATTTAGTTACAAAAGAAGAAGAAAAACTCTTAGAAAAAAAGACCAATAGAAATGAAAGATGTGTATGAAAAATTTAAACAACCTAGTGCTAATGTAATTATAAAAGATTTACAAGAAGAAATAAAAAATCTAAAAATAGAAATTAAAAAACTAAGACAAAATTAAATAACTTTAGAATTTAAATTATTAGAATTAGAGGGGAAAAAATTATTAAAAGGACAACAAGTAATGATATAGAAAGAGAACCCAAAATATTTAATAAGGAGTCATTAACACTAGTAACAACTTATAAATGGTAGTGTAAAATTACTTTAATAGTAGAAAGAGAAAAATTTAATAAGATAGATTTAATAGATTTAGGAGCTGATATTAATTGTAGACAAGAAAAATTAATTCCCACAAAATATTATGAAAAATAATAGAAAAATTTGTCTTAGCAAATGGATCTAAAATAAATATACAATATAAATTATCAAAAAAAATTTGTAAAAATAAAATATGTTTTACAACCTCTTTCATTTTAGTAAAAAATATGAAAAATCAAATAATATTAGGAATGTCATTTCAACATTACTATATCCTTGTAGTATAAATGAATGAATTATATGTAATTTGACAAAAATACCAGCTAATAAAATTTAAATTTATAAAGGCACCTAGAATTAGAGAGTTAAATCTTTTACAAGAAGCCTTTATATCTAAGATAAATTTAATAGAAAACAAAACTAAATAAAAATGATTAATGAAGAAATGAAGTATACAAGAATTGAAAAATAACTTAAGAATCCAAAAATACAAAAAATTATACAAAATTTTGAGAAAAGAATAGAGAAAGAAATTTGTAAAACTAATCCAATAAAGCTAGACCTATACAGATGAATGAAGAACCATTACAATATTATAAACAAGAATTAGAATATCATTTAAAAAATGTTAATTAGACCTTCTAAATCACCTTGGAGTTGTACAAAATTTTATGTTAATAAAGCCTCTGAACAAGAACATGGAGCCCCTAAATATCATTTCAAAATAGATCTCCAATACCAAATAAATAAGATCTAATTAAAAGATTAATTAATGCTAATATCATTTCAAAATTTGACATGAAATCAAGATATTACCAGAGATCCGTAAGAGAAGATAGATACAAAACAACATTTTTAGTCCCTTTTGGTCATTATGAATGGAACATAATGCACCAAAAATTAAAAAATGCACCTAGTGAATTTCAAGAAATTATGAACAATATTTTTTTTATCCTCATATGGGATTTTCAATAGTATATCTAGACCATGTACTTATTCTTTCTAAAGGATACAACATTTAAACAAATTTATAAAATTAATAAAAGAAAATGGACTGTAGTATAAGCTAAAAAGATAAAAATATTTCAAGAAAAAATTACATTTCTCAAATATGAAATATATCAGGGAACAATTATCTCAATATAGAGATTATTAGATTTTGTTGATAAATTTTTGGACCAGATAAAAGATAAGATACAATTACAAAGATTCTTAGGATGTTTAAATTACATAGCCGACTTCATTCCAAATATCAAGACAATATGTGCTCATTTTTACAAAAGATTAAGAAAAAATCCAATAGCTTAGGATGAAGAAATGACAACTGTAATACAAAAAGTAAAAGCTTTAGTCAAAACTCTTCCATGCCTAGAAATACTGGACCCTGAGGCATCTTTAATAGTTGAAACTGATGCATTCGATCTAGGATATGGAAGAATCTTAATACAAGTTCTTCTTGGAATAATTAAAGAACAAGTGGTGAGATATCATTAAGGGATCCAGCACAACAAAAATATTCAATGGTTAAAAAAGAAATTTTATCAATAGTTCTTTGCATACAAAAATTTCAAGATAATCTTTTTAACAAAAGATTTTTAGTAAAAATAGATTACAAAGCAACACCACAAATTTTACAAAAAGATGTTAAAAATTTAATATCTAAGCATATTTTTGCCAAATGACAAGTATTACTATCAAACTTTGATTTCAATACTATGCATATTAAAGGAGACAAAAAAATTTTGCTTAACTATCTTTCAAGAAAATTTTAACAGGGAGAAAAATGTCCAGAATAACCAGTTCAAATTGTGAACATCCAATATAGCCTGAATCAAAACTACCTTAAATACTCTAAACCAGAAAAAGTAAAAAAGGTAATAACGACCCTTCAAGCTCTACAAAAAATTAGTACCAATCACTCTTAAGGAAATAATAGCCTTTTCTAATAATACATTCACAATACTAGCCTCTTTGAACTCTACAAAACTAGCAGAAACACCATACATAGAATAGTCTGGCTGTATTCTCATTTTAGCAATAGAACCAAAATGATTTTCTTTGCTTAGATCTGAAATAGAAAAACAAAATTCTATTGTATTATCATTTTGTACCAACATCATTACAACAAAAAAAGAATTTTATGAGCTTATTCTAATGACACACGATCTATAGAATTAACTCATCAAAAAGATTCTAAAACTAAGGAAATAATATTTTAAAAATTCAAAATAAACAATATTTTGATAATACAGATTGAGAAAAACCCCTCTACCATCATAAGAGTTTTACAATAAATTATTAGCTAAAACAATATAATTATTTTAATTATATCAGTTCTTGGAGAAATATTCTCTACTTTAGACCAGTGAGGCAGCGACCCATTCATGGTTCATCTGGTTTAGAAAAGGAATTTCTCTAAAATTTTCAAAATGGTTTTGCTATTAGTTTTATGACTTTGGACCAATAACCTCTATACTACTCGAAGAAAATAGCATTACAATATTTTATAAGTAAACTAAATTTTACTCAAGAATATCAATTCATATTCTTTGTTGCAAGCCAATAAATTACTTGGATCACAATATGGGAGTATGATTAAGCCAAATTGGCAAAACATTCATAAGTTCAATTATTAGTCAGAGTTGTAAAAGTAAAATGATGGAGTAAATTCAATTTTGAATTACTTTGCAAACAAAAAATAGATCAAACAAAAAAATAGATCAGTGATTACAAATGTGCATTAAAATACAAATTTCAGATTACCAACTCCTTCTAGTGTAACCCACTCAAAATTATTAGAAAAAAGAAACCAATTGTTTATACAACAAAAATCCAGACTTTTAGCCAGTCTTAGTACAATAGCTCCGAAGAAAAATTCAACAAGATAATGCAAACAATATCTTCAAAAGTATCTGATGCATCATTAGAAAATAAAGAAGAATATGAGGTATAAAGTAGTCCCAACCCAAGTTCACTAGAAAACATGAAAGACTTTGGTTATGACAATGAAGATGATTGTTACGGTATTTTTATACCATGTGAATACAGATAAATTTTTCCATTGAT